TAACCCGTATAAGTAAAACGCTGAGAATTAAACTACAAAACGATAGACCCCCAGGCGAAATAACCGAAGCTTTGCAAAAGGTGAAACAGGCGTATAATGATTTAGTCGTTAAACATGAAGAATATGCCCAGAACATTAAAAATGATGAGGAATTCGAAACAGAGGAAAAATGGCTAGAAGAAAGTCAGGATGTGTATCTTCAACTAGAATGTACAACCGAGGGGCACTTCACTCCAAAAAAGCGTACGGGATTTTCGGATTTTTAAAAATCCGCGGATTTTTTAGCGGATTTAGCGGATTTTCCCCGGATTTTTTAGCGGATTTTTGAAGAAAAAATCTGTTGGATTTTCCGGATTTTTTCTGGATTTTTGAAAATCTGTTGGATTTTCCGGATTTGTTTGGATTTTCCGGATTTGTTCGGATTTTTTCTGGATTTTTTTAAATTGTAGAGTTATAGAGCTAGGTAACGTTTTAAACAAATAATCTTAAGTTGTACGACGTCTACAACGTCAACGTTATGCCAGGACGTCAGGGTCGAGCGGAGGACTGGGACTAGAACCACAGCCTTCAGAAACTAACGAAGGCTGGGCATGCAGTCATTTTGTTTAAAATTCAAACAAGTTCATTATTCTTTCAAAAACAGTAAAAGACAATGATGAATATAAACTTTTTATATAGACAATGGTTTTGTAATTATATTTTACAACATAACGTCATTGTAACAAGAACACATATTTAGTAGTAATAGGCTAAAAAAACTTAGCGTATACTCGAGCGTATAAATGGAAATGTAAAGTGGTCCAATAACTACGAAATATAATGACAGCGATCACGGTAAGCGTTTAGCTTTCGCTGTCCGCCATTTTGAACGTGGCAAAGAACCTTTACGAGTAAACTACACCAAGTACTTCATATATTTTTTGTGGATTTGCGGATTTTTGAAGGATTTTGAAGGATTTCTGTGGATTTTTGAAGGATTTCTGTGGTTTTTAAAGAATTTTTTGGATTTTGATGGATTCAACGGATTTTGAGGATTTCATGGATTTTTTCTGGATTTTTTCCAGATTTTTTGACGAAGTGTACAGGATTTTTGGAGTGAAATGCCCCTCGTGTATAATATCTTTATTACTTAACTTTGTTATACAACTATACTCTATATAGGTATATCTTTATAATTCACAAACCTTTTAGGTTTCTCGTGGACCTCTAGACCTTTTTACTTTGTTTATATTATTTATATGTAAATTACTGCTCTTGTAATGGGCGAAACCAATTGATAAATAAAAAAATAATAAAGGCGACTGCATGTTAGCTATTTTGCGGTGCGTAAAAGCACAGCTATATAATCATTTTTATGCTTAAGCCTGGTTCACAATACAATTTTGTCGGCGATTTTGTATTTCTGACGGATGCAAATGAGTGAACTCGCACACAAAAGTATAGAGTCGCTTTTCAGAAGTAAACAATTCTCAGTCTTTTGCATGTCATTCATTCGATCACATTCGCCAGGAGAAGAAAAATCACCGTCATGCAAATGCATTTATAAAGGTAGCCTGCATGCAGCTGTATGTATAAATAAGGTGAAACGAAGTAATTTTGGGAGGAACGGTAAAAGGTTTTAGGTTTTGAAAGCTTTTCGATACGTGATATGCTTGCTTTGTCACCCGATATGTATATACAGTATACACCTTGCAAATGGGCAGTTTTACCACGACGACTAATCGACTATTGCTTATAATTGCTGATAGTATATAGAGTTGATATAGCTTCGTACTAACATTTCTTAAAGGTTTTTAGTATACAAAGGAGAAACCACGCTCAAAAGACCCGCTTTCTGTTAAATTTTGTATTGAGATGAAATGAGATCTTTATTTTGATAACTTTGAAATAGGATTCTAATCTTAAAAGCTCTTAGAGTTACGCCCGCGTATTCTAAAAGCTCACTCACACTCAATGAGTGGAGGTTCAATCTGAGCTTCTCCTGTGTGTCAATGCTGTTTTTGAATAGCTGGAGGGTTAGTGTCGTAGCTTACTTTGTGACGCGATACTACTCACTTCCCAGCTATTCAAAAACAGCATTGAGACTTAAGAGAAGCTCAGATTGAACCTCATGCACTTATTGAGTGGTGTGAGCTTTTAGAATACAGGCGTTAAATTAGACTATACAGTATATGCATGGCAACTTGCCGTTGTCCTAAAACACATGCATGCAGCAGTGTTCATCGTTTAACAAATTAATTAAGTTACTGGGAAACCTTTTGAATATTCGCTACATGTAACAATATTTTAAATAGAAAGTCGCTCACGCCAGCTGAGATTGAATTCTTTCACAAATCATTTTGTTCAACCTCCATACAGATGGGCAATCTTTTCTCGATAAGTTTTTCATATTTGCTCGTGTGCATGTGTTCGGCAAAAAATTGATATTTGCTCCTTGTCAATTAAAGAGCCTTCCAAAGCTATAACCGCATGCCATCTCCAGGGGGAGGAAAATATATTCGTGTGTACGGCCGCCAAGGAAAACCGTGACAAGTGTACATAATTTTTTTCTAAGGGACCGGCCATTATTTATGGCGGGGGGTGGCACCGAAGAGAAAAGGGTTGGGTAAACAAAATTTTGAGTAAATAAAAGGTTGGGTAAATGAAAAACAAAACAACTCAAGTGTTGGGTAATAAAAAAATTTATTGTCATTTACAAAGCATGACTCACTCAAATATTGAAGACTATATAAAAAGCAATGTCAACAGTCATATGTAAATCCAAAATGTGAATCAATCAGAGTCACTATCTTGATCATTTTCCGATTTGTCAGGAGAGAAATGGTGTCTCCAAAGAAACTACATGTGCTGGTATCATGTAATGGTATCCTTTTGTAAAGTTTTTGGCCAGAGGTGGGTATTTATTTTTTAATTGATATTTGAGGTTGGGTAATCAAATTTTTGTCTTTTTAATGGTTGGGTCAGCAAAGTTTTTGCCACGAAAAACATTTCTCTTCGGTGCCACCCCCCACCATAAATAATGACCGGTCCCTAAGGTTTTGACTTTTGGCAAACAAAACTTGTCAAGGGAAAAGTGTCAAGGGAAATTTGTCAAGGAAAACTTGTTGACCGTACACAGGAGAAAGTAATTATAAACTTATGTTTGCGATGTTACTCTGAGTGCATATCCACACCGGGCGAGCTTGAAAAATATGCCCGGCCACGGTGGGGTTCGAACCTACGACCGTTGGAATACTAGCCCAATGCTCTTCCAACTGAGCTACGCGGTCAGGACGGTTCGAGTAAGTGATATTTCGGAACAGTATCTAGTTCCTTCAATACCAATGTGTTCTAGTAATATGAATTTTTCTGTGTTGGTGTTGTGTTGGTGTTGGAAGAGCATTGGGCTAGTATTCCAAAGGTCGTAGGTTCGAATCCCACCGTGGCCGGGCATATTTTTCAAGCTCGCCCGGTGTGGATATGCACTCAGAGTAACATCGCAAACATATTATTCACCTGAGTACACAACACCAGCACAGAAAATTCATATTACTAGAACACATTGCTATTGAAGGAACTAGATACTGTTCCGAAATATCACTTACTCGAACCGTCCTGACCGCGTAGCTCAGTTGGAAGAACATTGGGCTAGTATTCCAAAGGTCGTAGGTTCGAATCCCACCGTGGCCGGGCATATTTTTCAAGCTCGCCCGGTGTGGATATGCACTCAGAGTAACATCGCAAACATATTATTCACCTGAGTACACAACACCAACACAGAAAAATTATAAACTTGTCAACGAAAAGTTGTTAACTGTATAATGTATAAAAGAGAAAGTAAACTTGTCAAGGAAACGGCTTGACAAAGAAACTACGAGAAGGTAAACTTGTCAAGGAAACTACGAGCAAGTAAACTTGTCAACGAAAACTTGTTAACTGACCATGCAGAAAGTAAACTTGTCAAGGAAACGGCTTATCAAGGAAAACCCCATGCAGTTCGTGAGAGTTGATGAGAGATGGAACTCTCGCTCGCGTTTGATGGCCAATTGTCATCGACTCTCATGGATGCACTTCATCAACTTTGAGCTGTTTCAAATTACGACAAGAGTTGACGAGAATTTTCGAGACTGTAACGGCGCGGCGTATAAATGACGACAAACTATACACTGAAAGCGGAAATGAAGGTTCTGGTATTTTGGCTGTAAAACGTATATCATTAGATTTAAACACTATATTCTTGTGATGACACAATCTTCAAATCTTCAAACCTCACATCATGTCCAACATAATATTATATACTCACAAGCTTGATTTAAGGATAATAAAATACCCGAAAATTCATACAGAAAGACCAGAAAGATGGCCCTCATGCTTCGATATGAAACGTCCAGAAAAATATTCTTTTCATGTGGCAATATCCTTCAACGAAGCAAGCTCGTGAATATAAAATAATATTCATGATCTTTCATCGCATGATCTTTCAAGAGGGCGAATGCCCTAAAGCCCGGTTCAAACGAGGAAGAGAGATTAACGGGGTTTGTCGACCTTGGGTAACATTTCCTAATCCGCAACACCATGATGCATCAATTCTGCTTAAGTTATTTGAACATGCATCGAACCTTTATTCTGTTAATATATGCTTAAAATATCCTCCGTATAACAATTCGTGACAGTCAGTCAACTCTCATCAACTCTCGGCCTGAAAGAACTATCAGGGAGGATTATAGTTTCCAGGTATAGCAATTATAGTCCTTGAATCAAGCTCGTAAATTATAGATATAGAGACCCAACAACACTACACTCTACAGATAATTTTTAGCTACATATATGTATATATAGTGCTAACCTTTGTCTATTTCACCACATACAACGACAACATCAAAAGCAACGAGAGCTGTTATACTGATAACCAAGCATTTCCAGCCACGAGTGTTCGCCATCATCGCTGCTTGTAATATGAAGTCAAACTGCGAAGCGTATCCAAATAATTGCCTCGATGTTTATTGCCACACTAACAGCTT